AAACATTTGTTTCCGAGATATATTTATCCAAACCAAATTACTTTAAAGAATGCTCTGCATAAATATCTTGAGGCAAACTTTTCTGAATATATATTTAATTTAAGCTCTAATCAGTTTACAAATTTATTTCATGGTAAATGGTGTAACATGGTGAGTATAAACAAAATAATTCGATTGTTTTTGATTGTTTTTAAACTAATTCAAACTCAATTAAACAAAAGCTTTTGACAAAAATGAAAAATTATTGCAGCGCGACGTTACAAAGCGTTAGAACAGCAATGTAGCAAGCTTTGGTTCCGAACGATTACTATTTTTAAAAAGCAATGCTTCATCAGCTGCTGTCATAACATGGAAAAGTCTGTAGAAGTGTTCGAATGTTATCATTTACTTTTTCAATTAAATAGTGAAGGAATCTATTGAGTAACTTTGCTTGTAAGGGCAGTATTTTCAGAAACATCTGTTTCCACTTTAAGCAATGAACATTGCATCTTTACTCTTGTTATATGTGATATTTTTTTGAATCCTCAATCCAAGAGTATTATTTGTTCTAAAAAGCGAATGAAACGTCGCATAGAGCATTTTCTCATAAGTAATCGATCAAATATGATAATTATTTTAAATATAATCTTTATAATTGTTATATTTATTAAATAGAGAGATTTTAATAATGGTGGTTTCTCCCTAAATTCTGCTGAAGAAATTTTAAATAATGAATTAGAAAATGCATTGAATCAAGAGCAATCGCAAGAAACTTTAGAACAAGAAGAATCAGAATCAAATAGAATATAGTAAGACAATTCGATGATACATTTACAAGAAGAACAAGATGCATTATTTGGTGTTAGAAAAGATAATAGAGATTAAATTAAAAACATAATGTAAATTTTTATAACCATGCGAAACAAAGTAATTTACTTTTAATAAAAACAAATTGGTTTTTTTTTAATTATAAAAAACTAATTATATTGTTATAAATCAATATTTTAAAATTTTAAATTGAATCAATATACTCCGATACAAATCGATTTTTTAAAATTTTAAACCAAAATTAATAAATTCCAATACATATCAATTTTTATCTAAATCGATAATAATCGGCAGAAGGGATTATCATCGATATATATTCAGGGTGTTATTAATTGATACATATCACCCTATTTATTTTGCTGATGAAGTAAATTAATAATAAAAATTGAACAATTAATCTTTTTTAGTGATTTTTTATTAACTGGAATCAATATTAATATTAAATGCTTTTGCAATTTTAATTGAAACAAACTAAAACTCCTTGTTGTTTATATTGATAACATATATAACAAAGTTAACAATTAATAAAAATTCTATAGTGTTTTAATTACTGTATAATAGCATATATAGTTCAAATAAAATATTGTTATATTCAAGATTAAATATATATTTTAAAATATTTTAATTATAATTTTAATTATAAAAGAATTTATTAATTTATAACAATTATATATTTGATATTTTTATAACAACAATAGGTTTATAAAAATAGACTATAATTTTTTTTAATTAAGTAGCATATTGATGTGCTTATTAATATGTATACAAAAAACAATAATATAAAAATTCAATACAAAAAAATTTAAATATTTCCAAGCAGTAAAACATTTGCTAACAAATTATTTATAGATTTATATATAATTTTTGAATTTTTAATATTATATTACCATATTATTCATACAATCCAGCTATTTACCAATTATTTTACTACAAAAAGTAAGTTTATCAAGCTATTACTATATGATATTAACTATTTTAGACTTTTTAAATTCTAATTCTCTAAATATAATTATAAGAAATAATAAAGTCATTTATTTTAAAATCAAATATCAAAACTTTAACCTTGAAAGATCAAAGTTAATATATATTCAAACTATTATTTAATATAATCTTATAGTTTTAAAAAGTAAAAAAATTATTTTTAAAAAAGAAAAAAAAAAAACTGGTAAATAAAAAATTTTCTAAATTAATTATTAATATAATAAGAACTTTTTTATTTTGAAAAGAAAAGAAATCAATATAAAAGAAAAAACAAAAGATTTTAAATTATTTTAAATAAAAATATATTTTAATACCTTGTTTTTTTGTTATATTATATTATATTATTAGTTTTAGTATTATATTGTAACAGGAAAAAATGAAATACAATATTATTTATATAATTAATTATTGTAATAATAGTAAGTTGGCTATAATAATTAGATAATAAATGAGAGATAGGAAGAATTGTAGAAAGAACTATATAATTTAATATTAGTCATATTATTGTATTGTTACTTATTGTTTTATGTTCAAATTCTTTATAGTTAAATATAAAGAAGAAGAGGTATAAATTATATATAAAAATATAAAAAAAGTAAAGAAAAATAGAAAATAATTAGAGAATAAAATTAATAAAGACTTTATCAAATAAAACATGTTTCAAATAATCTTTTAATTTATTTATCTGATAACAGCTATACAAATCTTTATTAGAGTTAGTAATAAACTTATTATTACATTATTACAATATAATGTAAAGTATATAAGAAATATATATTTTATATATACTGTATTTTATTATTTGTTAGTCAATTAATTCAAAATTTTAATTAATTATCAATTAGGTTCAAATGTAACAAAAAATTCTAGAATTCAATTAAAATAGACAAAATTCTTCAAAAAAATTAAAAATTTTTTAACAAGTTTAAAATAAAGCATTACTATAAATATATATAATTAGTAAAAAAAAAATCACATATTTGAATAAATAAGCTTTACTAGCTTATTTATTTATCTCAATTAGGGTTTTTAATAGTATTGTTTTAATATAAAGTTAGTACTGAATTTACTATTAGTTTAATATATAAATTAAATTCATATATTATATATATTATAAGTTTATTTTGATATTGATTTAAATTTTAATATTAGCCAGAGTTCCAATTAGTATAAGTTTTAGTATTAATTTATAAATCAAATACTTAATTAAATTTTTTATATTAAATTATTATATTGTAATAATCAATTAATATGCCTGTTGCTAAAATAAAATAAGTATTATATATAATTATTAATAATATAAACGATTTTAAATAAAATTAAGATATATTTGATTTGGCTAAGAAAAAAAATTCAATGCCCTTTACTTACTTTTGTTTATATCTTTTTATATATTTTTATTGAAAAAACTTTTATATTCTAAAAAATAATAATATTAATTATCTAATGTCTTTTTATGTTTTTTTCTTATTACATAATATTTAATTGCAGTAATTTATATTATTTAATTATTTTTTACAATTCTTCTCCTACTATATAACTTTTTAACATATTATTTTATCACTATTTTATTCATTTTCTATTACTTCTTTGCTTATATACTTTTGTTATACTATTTCAAATATTATATTATAAATAAATTCTTTATAATACTATTTTGATATTTAGTCATATAACTGGCATCATATTATAATTTTACTTTCTAACAATATATAATATATTATAAAAAATCATTTCATTTTTATTAAATATTAAGTTATAATTGATTTTGATTTCAATATTAATTTTTACATAAAATATTGGTTTAATATTTATTAGTTTTGATATTATGAATGATATAAACTGTACTATATGTATAGATTTTATTAATTATTATAAATTATATTATATATATATAATCTAATAGCTATTGCTAATTTTATCAATACAGTTGATTAATCAGATATGTCAACTTACACTTTGTGGATGAGTCCATATATTAGTGGAGATTCAAAGATATAGAAATCCTGATATTAATTATTTATTAATAAGCATATAATAAATTTTTTAATAATTAATAAAAATATATTCAATTTAAAAAATAAATTATTTATAAGTTGTTTATTTATCTTTTAACTTTATCCTATAACAGTTGAAGCATCATGGAGATTCACAATTGCAGATATTATCAAGGTCCTCTAATTCGCAATAAAATACATTTTTTTCATTTTTTGTATTTGGGTTGACTTTATAGGTATACTACACATTTTATTAAAATTATTATGAGGGCTAGACTAATCGCAATAAAAGTTTGATAAACCAATTACCAATATTGTACACAATGATACTATTTATTAATCACTAAAATTCACGAGAATTATGAAACAATTTGTGCTAGTGTACTGCGCTCATAAACTTTTTTTTTTGGTTGATCTTCAAATTCTTCCTCGGATTCTTCGTCTTTAACTTTGATTGTTCTTCCTACTCGATGGTTATTTTTCACTACAAGTTTTGTTTTTTCTCCACCATATTTAATGATTAAATAAATTCTTCGAAATTGCGAGTCCCCAACAAGTCCTCCACAATGAAAATCACCACAAATACCGTCGATAAAAACCACTATTAAAGATTTATAACCTTGTGATGTCATATTATAGTAGTAAAAATAGGCATCTTTTAAATAATTCAAGATCCTGGAAATATAAATTAAATTTGAAGCAAATATTAACTTTTTCAAATAATAATTGTTGTCCGAAAGTAATGCCATATTTAACATCTGAATAAAAGGAACATAAAGCATGAGAATAGAAACAGCAAGTCCTTCATACATATTTAAATATAGTATGAATTCAGAAAAAAATTTTTTTTCGAATGTTATTTTTAATCTAGTAAGCACAACCTCGATTAATAAACCGGAACCAGTTAGAATTCCGCTAACCGCATGTAAATATACAAATATTATTGACTCGTTTGTATCAATTGCACGAGAATAAAATAAAAAACAAAGGTCCGAAACTACATGAACACCAAGAACTGTCAGAAAAAGTTGATTACTACTATATCGGTCAATTTCAATAAATCTTATCCGGACTATAATGATCACGACAACGAATGCTGATATACTATAAAGAATTATGACCCACATTGGCGTATTCTGTGTTTCTCTGCTTTTTACCATGACAAAAATTGGTAGAATATAAAGAGTTAACAAAAACAATATGTCATCAAAAAAAAGTTTGACTTTGAACCAATGTATGTTGTTTATATTATCAATGTTTATATCGAATAATGAGACGATTATTAGAGGAACTATCACGCTAATAAACTGATCGAACAAGTCAGGCAATGGATCACCATTATCCGCGTAAGCCGAAAAGAAGAAGGAATTGAATACCGCAATGTAAAGATAAAAGGGGTGATACATTATCAAAAATTTAAAAATTTAATAACAAACAGTTACAGTATTATATTTAAATTCGGTTTAAACATTGTTTATTATTGACGGTGTACTGAAACTTGTAATACATTTAATTTATTTCACGAAGTAAAAATGATGTAATAAGGTTTCACTGGCAGATCAAGGATAGTATGATTATGTAAGAAATCAAAATAAAGCTATGGACGTTCGAATAGGTGATGTTTTTGTGTTTTCTTCTGCTGCTACGTTTGCCCGAAACTTTTGATTTCCGGCTTATCGAATTTCC